CTCTTCAGCTCAAGGCTAGCGCTCTACCACTTGAGCCACAGCACCACTTCCGGCTTTTTTCTTTTTGCTTATGTGGTGCTGAGGAATCGAATCCAGGGCCTCATGCATGCAAGGCAAGCGCTCTACCACTGAGCCACCTTCCCAGCCCCCCACACACACTTTAAGAAAAAGCATTTATATTGCAAAAAGAAAAAGAAAGACTTTGAAAAAATATAGAAACAAAAAATGGCCTATAATCTTATAAATTGTAGAGAGCTTCTTCTAACATTTTGGGGTATTTTGAGGCTTTCCCATATGCATGTATGTCAGAGAAATGTGCACACAGGCACACACATGCGCACGCACGCGCACACACACACACACATATGTAGTTTCTGTCCTTAAGTTTTTTTTCTCTTCCATTTATCATGTCAGGATCATTTGTTTTTTGGCTCACATAATGAATTAATTCTCTGTAACAAGATTTTAGGGGCGTTAGATAATTTCATTGTGTGATTGTGGATCACTGAAAATTAATCAAAGAATATTTCTGGGCATCTGTATATTTTCCAGTATTTTCTCTTATTATAATTGATATAATAAGCATCTCTGCATATATTTGGGAACTGATTCTGATTATCTTCTAGAATGTGTTTCTGGAATTAGAATTGATGGGCTAAAGGGCATGAACATTTTGAAGATCCTTGAAATATGGAATTATTTGGTAAAGAAGTATAGAGGGTTTTATTCATGTCTTTTGGCAGTGCTGAGATTTGAATTCAGGGCCTCCAGTTTGCTAAACAAACATTCTCTCTGTCTCTCTCTCTCTGTTTCTCTCTCTCTGTTTCTCTCTCTCTGTGTGTGTTTCTCTGTGTGTGTGTTTCTCTCTCTGTGTGTTTTTGTGTGTGTGTGTTTCTCTCTCTCTCTCTCTTTCTCGCTAAGACCCTAGCCCTTTTGCCTTTCGTTTATTTTTCTTGCACTTTTGCTCTATGGACTAGCCTCAAACCAGGATCCTTCCATCTCCCCCTCCTGCATAGCTTTGGGTTACAGATGTGTGCCACCATGCTTGGCTTAGAGAATGGTAGATTTAGAGCCAAGAGTGATAGACTGTGGCTGACATCTTGTGGGTAAAGAGGGTTCTTTAAAAAATTCTTTTTGCCTCTTCTATCTTCTCTTACTGTTGCCGTTGCCGTCATTGGGTACTACATGTTTAATCTGACCCCTAAGCCTCCTTCAAGGCCCATATTATTCTCACTCCCATTTTGCATGTGAGGCCAAGCAGGCCGGGAGAGGCAGTGTCTCTTACTGAGGGCCACACTGTAGTTGAGCAAGGGCACACAGCCAAGCCTCCACTACTTGTCATGGTTCTCTTCTCCTTTGTCATATCCTTTCTCATCGGCCTGTGGTACCCAGAGCTTGTTTTGCCCCTGCTGATGGTACCTTGGAGTGTATATGTGGAGACAGATAGGCTGCTCATTGTTGTTCTAGAATGAAGCAAGGTAGAGGAAGCAGGAGGATGCTCAAGTGAGGTTGTGGATGATCATTAAGGAGAGAAACTTCAGCAAGTACTGATGGCTAAGATCTGAGGCTCAGGGTTTAAAGCCAGCCTGGGCAAACACATCCAAGAAACTCTTTTTTCCAATTAATCAGAACAATGCTGAAAGTGGATGTGTGGCTCAAATGGTAGAGCTCCAGTTTTGAGTGAAAAAACTAAGTGAGAATTGAAGTTCTGAGTTCAAGCCCCACTACTGGCACAAGAGAGGGAGGGAGGGAGAGGGAGGGGATGAAAGAAAGATGAGAAAAGGAGGGGAAGGGAAGCAAGAGAAGGAAAGGGATGGGAAGAAATGAACGAGTAAAGGAGAGGAGAGGAAGAAGGGACAGAAAAAGGGGGAACGGGAGGGGAGCGGAGGCAAGGCAAGGGTTTATATCTTGAAAGTCTCTGGACCGTCTTTCCATGGAGTTGGAAAACAGGTTGAAATTGTGTTGAGAAGCTGAGTTTAAACCCCTGAACTATTGGTTGAACCACTGAAACTTTCTGGAGGACTGACCATCTCACTTCTCATTAATGTCATCCAGGGATTGAGTTCCCAAAAGGAACAGAGAGCCTCATGGTCCTTACTGGAGTCTCTCTCTTGGGTGATGGAGACATTTGGGACTTGCCAGAACCCTCTGCTCTCAGATGTTTCCCTAATGGAAGTCTTTGGTGGTCTCTGTTTCAGCCCCATCTCCAGGAAGGATCTCTCCCTCAGCGGTGGCTCTTGCTGCCTTCCTGCCTGTTCTGGGGCTTCTCATCATAGCAGGCATTTGCCTCATATGGAAGCAAAAAAGATCAAAAGGTAACTCAGGGGTAAGGGAACCCAGGTTGGCAGGAAGGAGGATTATGACTGTGCTGGAAAAAGACCAGAGGAAGTAGATGTTTATATTTATATTTATCCATGGGTTGGAAATTCTACAAGTTAACTAGGACAAAACTGGTAGAGCCAGATCCTGGAGACCCACACTAATGAAGTAGTTAAATAAACTACAGATAGGCTTTGAGAACAGCTGTGAGCTCTCATTCTTTGAGAAATTGGACAATAACCATCCATATACCTTTCTAATTAACTAAGAAACTAAGAAATTAGAGACTTCTAATCAAGAAATCCAATTATATTCGTTAGATGCAATCTTTATTAAATAGTCATGATTGCAAAGGACTTGGAACATTCCATAATCCAATATTGCCTCTTCATCTGATTGTTTAAAGACCTTTCTTTCTTGGGCTGGGAAGGTGGCTCAGTGGTAGAGTGCTTGCCTTGCATGCATGAGGCCCTGGGTTTGATTTCTCAGCACCACATAAGCAGCAAAAGCTGGAAGTGGCGCTGTGGCTCAAGTAGTAGAGTGCTAGCCTTGAGCTGAAGAGCTGAGGGAAAGCACCCAGGCCCAGAATTCAGGCCCATGACGGATAAAACAAAAAACAAAACAAAACAAAACAAAAAAAGACCCTTCTTTCTCCCTCCCTCTCTTCTTTCCTCCCTCCTTTCCCCCTTCCTTCCTTCCTTTCTTCCTTCCTTCCTTCCCTCCCTCCTTCCTTCTTCCTTCCCTCTCTCCCTCCCTCCCTCCCTCCTTTCCTTCCTTCCTTCACTCCCTCCCTCCTTCCTTCCCTTTCTCCCTCCCTCCCTTCCTCCCCCTCCCTTCCTTCCTTCCCCGCTTCCATCAAACCCAAGGTCTCATGCATGCTGCCAAGTACTCTGTCACTAGACCATAGCCCCAGCCCTCTTCTAATTTTTCAAGTAGTCACACAGTTATAGCCACAATGAGTTTGTCAAGCAGCTTGGGCCATCTGTGGAAAATGATGCCTATTAGAAAGAGCAGAGCTGATGATGCCCATCCCTCTTTCCCTTCCAGAGAAGCTTCTCTATGAACAGGCGATGGAAGTAGGTAAGTGTTTTGGACTGAGGTGAGGGAGACATTTTTCTTTTGTTGGTTTCTGTGTCCCCAGTACCCACAAATTTAAATTCTCAGCTAGGAAACTGTATCATCTACCGCCCTTGGTGTTGGTGATGGTGTCTAAATCCATTGCTTCCAGTTTTCACTAGCTTACTCATCATACCTTGTCTTCTGGTAGATTCAGTGGCTTTTGTCTGTGAGCTCATTGCTAATTCTTATGGGATGTTGGGTAGGTCAAACATAGAGAAGTTTTTGTTCACTCACTAAGTAATTGATAATTCTCTACTCAATGGGGATCCAATGGTGAGTGAAACCAGACATAGTCTTTGGTCTTCTGAAGCTTTCAGTCTAGCCAGGGATTATACAACCAAATAATTAAACAAATAAATGTTTTTAAGTGCCATAAAAGAAAGTGCTCAGTTCTTCAAGAGCAAGAGGAACCAACTGAGCTGAGGGCTGAGGAGGTGATGCTCACCTTGAAAACTGGAAATCATGAGCGAGGGGAGAGGAGGATGGAAAACCATGCACAGCAGAAAGAACAACTTGACAGAAGCATGGCCAGCGAGAGCAATACTCAGAAAAGATGCACAAGTGAGGCGGAGCTGTCCACGCTAGGTCACAAGGGCCCTGGAGATCACACTAAGAATTCTGCCCCTTTTCCTAAAAGTAGTAGTGATGAGTGGTAATAAGTCAATGGGAAGGGGGCTTTCATAATCTTCCTCTCACAGCAGTGCTGAGAATATACCAGAGGGAGTAAGGCAAATACGAGAGACATTGAGTTATCATTTTTTATCATCACAATGAGAGAAGATGAAGGACTAGATCAGGAATGTGCAGGTGAAGATGGACAAGTTCAAGAGCAGGTACAATCAGTAAGAATCAGGGACCCTCAAGGTAACAACAAACAGTCTCATTGTCTTTCCCCTCCTTTCTTTAATCTCTAGAAAATCTTCTTGAAGACCATGCAAAAGAAAAAGGTAAAGAGTGAGAAGTCCAGAACAAATAGCATATTCTTTCTTCACTTAAAATAAGTACTGAAGCTCTCCTAATATTACTGGAATGCAATTTCTAATATAAAGGGGATATGGAGTTGGTGGGAGAGGGTAAGGATCAAAATCCTTAGTTCTGGCTGAGCACTGGCGATTCATGCATGGATCCTAGCTACTCAGAAGGCTGAGATCTGAGGGTTATGGTTTGAAGCTACCTTGTGGAGATAAATCTGAGAGACTCTTATCTCCAATTAACTCCAATTGGAACTGTGACTCAAATGGTAGAGTAACAGCCTTGAGAAAAAAAAGTTAAGCAAGAATGGGAAGCCCTAAGTTCAAGCCCCAGTTAACAGAACATTAAAAAAAAAAAAAAGCATAGCTCTGGACCATCACATGCTTCTTTCATCAGCCTTTCTACCAATCACATAGACAAGAAGTCTACATATTATTTAAAAGTATGATCATATGGTCATACAGAATGCGTGAGACTTCAACAACAAAGAGAGATGGTGTCGTGTATGGAAAGGCTACAGTCTCTGGAGTCAGCAACACTTGACTCAGCTTGCTGACCATCTGCCTGCCACTTACTGGCCTTGAATTAGTCACTATATACCCTGAACTTTGGTTTTTTCATCTGTAAAATGAGGATGTTATTTTACCTGATTTTTTTTAGTGTATGTTACATACATACATATACATATATATGTTGCATTACTGCTGTTGAATTCAGAGCCTTCCATTTGGCAGGCTGGTGTTCTACCACTTGAGCCATGCACCCATGGCCTTTTTTCCTTATTTTTTAAATAGTGTTTCTCTCCAGGGTTGCCTAGATCCATGATCTTCCTATTTATTCTTTCCAATTAGTTTAAATGAAAGTTATGTGCCATCCTGCCCTGCTTTTTTATTTGAGGTTGAGGGGTCTCATGAACTTTTTGCCCTGGCTTGCCTTGAACCTCAGTCCTCCCAATCTCTGCTTCCCCAGTAGCTAGAATTATAGGAATGATCCACTGTACCTACCTAGAGAAAATATTTTGGAAAGATTTAACACAGGGCCTGCAACTCATTTCCCTTACTGCCATTTTTCAATTTGATATGTACCATGGACCACTGAAAATAAAAGTCAGACGTCCTTTTGAAGTCTAGATAGGAAAAACAAAAGTCACTGGCTCGATGAGTCCCAGTTCAAAGACATTAGGATTTCACCTCCTTCCCATTATATTTTTTTTCCAAGCTAATGAAAATATGAGATGAGCAATGCAGGCACCAAGAGCAAAATATGGAGTAATGATGAGGGTCTCTGACTCAAGAGCTGGGTAGGCTTGGGTTTGAGTCTTACCTCTGGGTCACTCACTAGCTGGATAACCTTGAGCCAGTGTCATGTCCCTCTGCTCATCAGGCTGCCTCTCTATAAAGCAGAACAATCGTTCTATGTACCTCACATTCAGTATCTATCTGTTTAAGAACAGGACTCAGCTGTTAGTATTGGAAAAGGCAATCACAAACCATAAGGTCCTGGGAGAACTGTGACATAGTCTCAATTGCTCCATAGCCAAAGCCTAATCCACAGCCAGCCTCAGCCCAGGGCCTGATAGTGGACTCAGGTGTGTTGATTTGTTGGCCGGATCAATGCTAGGCAGGGAACATGCGGACCAGGTGGCTCCCTGCAGAGAAGCTACAAGTACTTCCTCAAAGGATATGACGCATATACATATGTTTCCAAATTTTCTGTGATATCCAGACTTGGAAAAATTATAACTTTTATTACAATGTCACCAAGTCAATAGGACACTTTTAGCAGCTAGTTTTTTTTTTTTTTTTTTTTTTCTTTTTTTTTTTTTTTATTGTAAAGATACTATACAGAGGGTTACAGTTACATGAGTGAGGTAATGAGTACACTTCCTCTTGAACATTGTTAGCCCCTCCATTGTTTTCCCCCTACCATCCCCTCCCTCCCTCCCTTCCCCAAAGTTCTTTTTTTTTTTTTTTTTTTGATTGTGATTAAGTGATTACATAGTTTCTAAGTCACAAGTTCATTCTAACTTTCCTGGAACAAATTGTCTATCACAGTCTGTAATATATAACAGTGTTCACATGTTATACACCATACATGTGATCAGCAGCGTGGGGATATTTAGTAGTGGTTCAACCAGATGAGCAGGAGTTCTTTGTTTCTTAAGTCCTGTTAGTTTTGTCGTATCACCTAACATTTTGGATTTATCATCCACTTATCAGGGAGACCATGTACCGTTTGTCTCTTCGCTCTTGGCTTACCTCGCTCAACATGATTCCTTCTAGCTCCATCCATTTCCCTGCAAATGCCATTATTTTGTCATTTCTAATGGCTGCATAATATTCCATTGTGTATAGATACCACAATTTTTGGATCCATTCATCTGTGGTGGGGCATCTGGGTTGTTTCCATATCCTATTAGCAGCTAGTTTTACACCTTAGATATCATAAACAAAGGACAGCGAGGCATATACGCTTCTGTGCTACAGTTATCAGCACATGTAAACAGATAGCAGAAATGAAACGAGACAGACCACAAAGAAGGCACAGGAAGAACCCAAGGCTGGGGCAGCCTGGATCACTGGGCGAGTGGAACTGGCACCCTTGGTTTCCTGAGACTAAACTGTGTGACATAGGATTGGGTTAGGCACTGAAGGAAACATCTCCATCCTCTCAGGCATGGGAGGGGGAGTGGTACCCAGGGCCTCAGGGATAAAGGCAAGATCTGATCTCTCCTCTCTGTTTTTTTGTTTTGTTTTGTTTTTTTTTAGGAAGACTCCATAAAGCCCTCAGTAAGTTCTGCTCCTTATCTTTGGCACAAGCTTCCTTCTGCTAACATCTCTGCTTTGGGATAAGTGTTTCAGTGTCACCTTCCAGGGTAAAAGGGAGGGAGCAAGGGAAATTCAAACTATGGGGTTTGGGGATTTCTTGGCTCTAGAAGGCTTTTTTTCAAATTTGGTTCTGGTGTCTCATGCCTGTCAAACCTAGCTACTTAGGAGGTGGAGGTCTGAGAATCAGTTTGAAGCTAGCCCAGGCAGAAAAGTCTATAAGACTCTAACCAGCAAAAAGCTGAGAGTGGAGGTGTGATTCAAGTGGTAGAGTGCCATTCTTGTGTGGAAAAAGCCAAGCAAGAGTGTAAGGCCCTGAGTTCAAGCCCCAATACCAACACACACACAGAGGCCTCTTTGCTCAAGTGTTTTCTTCTTCCTTTTCCTGTATGGCTGTTTTCTAGACTCTAAATGGGAATAGATGTATCTCATTAGTGAAACAATCCAATGTCCCTTTCATCATCCAAGCATAGCATTCTCTTAGGTGAGATCTAAGACAAAGGGTCCCCACTAAACTGAATGGGCTGGAATAATGCTTTTCTATCATTCCATCTGTGAGAACCTCTACATTACTATTTTTGTAAAGTCTGAAGACACATGACACATCTATTTTACATGGAGAAAATACACAGGACAGCAGTAATAGTTTTAAGTGAACTTGTATCTTAGTCTTCTCCTATAGAATTTATATATACATCGACACTGCCATTACCTATAGGTAAAGGTGTATTATTTTACCTGTAGGTAAGGCTTGGCTCACATAAGAATTTTCTTTTTTAAATTTTTATTTTATTTTACTGTAAAGGTGATGTTCAGAGGGGTTACAGTTACATAAGTAAGGTAATGAGTACATTTCCTCTTGTCAAATAGTGTTATCCCCTCCCTCGTTTTCTCCCGCTTTCCCTCCCCGACTCCCCTCCCTTCGTCACATAGGAATCTTTTGACCCTTGGCTATATCTCTGGGGACCTGTGGCCCTCAGCTGGGAGCTAGGTATAGCTACTGCAGATCTGCTGTAGGAATGTGGGCTGGAGTGGACAGTAGTATTGAGGATGGGTAACTGACCCTCACTCTCATATATCCAACTATTTTTGTTTTTAGAGAAACTCCGGAGTGAACTAAGTAAGTTTCACATGTTTTTACCACTTCCATACCAAATTATCTCCTGCTGCCCAGTATTTCTCGTGGTAGCTTACCTCTCTGTCTCTTCTTCCATAGAGTTGAAAAGAGCTGCGGCTAACTCAGGTGAGATGCTCTCTCCTCACATTTGTCTTCTGCCTTCTCGAGTTCTTGATGTCTCCCTTGTCTTGAAAACCCCCTTTTATGTCTTTTAGGCTGGAGAAGAGCCCGGTTGCATTTTGGTAAGTTACATCAACCAAATCCATCCATAATTCAAATCCCCTGCTTCTTTAAATTCCACACTTTAATTTTGCTCCATTTTCATTTTGATTTTTTTTGGGGGGGTCTGGTCGTGGGCCTAAACTCTGGGCCTGGACGCTGTCCCTCAGCTCTTCAGCTCAAGGCTAGCGCTCTACCATTTGAGCCATAGCGCCACTTCCAGCTTTTTTCCTTTTTGCTTATGTGGTGCTGGGGAATCGAACCCAGGGCCTCATGCATGCAAGGCAAGCACTCTACCACTGAGCCACCTTCCCAGCCCTTTTGCTCCATTTTCAAAGTGCACACTATACTCTTCTATTTTAAATTTTTATCTATTTATTTATTTTTAGTTGCTTGTTTTTGTCAGTCATGAACTCTGGGCCTGGGTACTGTCCCTCAGCTCTTCAGCTCAAGGCTAGCGTCCTACCACATGAGCCACAGCACCACTTCTGCTTTTTCTGCTTATGTGGTGCTGAGGAATCGAACCCAGGGCCTCATGCATGCAAAGCAAGCACTCCACCACTAAGCCACTTTCCCAGCCCTTATTTATTTATTTTTGAAACAAGGCCTTGCTAGGTGGCCCAAGCTGGCCTTGAACTCTCCATTTTCATGTGTGTGTGTGTGTGTGTGCGCACGTGTGTGTGTGTATGCACTCACACCAGCACTGAACCTTGAACTCAGGGCCTGGGTTCTGTCCCTTTTCTGTTTAGTCTAACTAGTATAGAGGCAAACAAGTCACAAAGAAGACAAATAATTAATAAATCATAAATACTTTTTAAAGTGTTAACCAACTTGATAAAAATTTAAAAATTCAGGCTGGGTAAGGTGACACACACCTACAATGTCAATTCTAGAGAAGTTGAGACAAGAAGATAGAGAGTGCTAGGCGGTGCTGCTGTGGCCTGTAATCCTACCTATACAGGAGGCTGAGATCTGAGGATCACAATTTGAAGCTAGCCAGGGAAGGAAAGTCTGTGAGGTAGCTGCAGGTAGAGCACCAGCCTTGAGTAGAAAAAGCCAAAACAAAAACAAAACAAAACAAAAAAACCACAACAACCCTCAAATAACAAAAAATAAAAGACAGTAATAATATTTTCTAAGGATTAGCTAAGGCAGCTTCATAGGTAGATAAAAGAACATTTTCCCCTTTAATTTAGTAGCCTAGCAGGAGATCTATTCTTTGGTTCCAGGACACATGGAGGTGGGAAGGGCTATGAACTAAATGTGTCAATGACAGTAATTGCATACCTCAAGACCATTTTTCCTCCAAAGATCCCTTAAGGCTTTCAAACCTCACTTCTGTTATTCTGCAGTGGCAGTGACCTTGGATCCAGAGACAGCGCATCCCAAACTCATCCTGTCTGAGGACCGAAGATGTGTGAGGCTTGGTGATAGAAAGCGGCCCGTGCCTGACAACCCCCACAGATTTGACTTTGTTGTCAGTGTCCTGGGCTCTGAGTGCTTCACAGATGGCTGTCACTACTGGGAGGTGTATGTAGGAGAGAAAACCAAATGGATTCTTGGTGTATGTAGTGAGTCTGTGAGCCGGAAGGGGAAAGTCACTGCCTCACCTGCCAATGGACACTGGCTTTTGCGACAGAGTCGTGAGCTTCACTATGAAGCTCTGACTTCCCCACAGACCTCCTTCCGCCTGAAAGAGCCCCCAAAGTGCGTGGGGATTTTCCTGGACTATGAAGCAGGAATAATCTCCTTCTATAATGTGACTGACAAATCCCACATTTTTACATTCAGCCACAGTTTCTCTGGCTCCCTTCGCCCTTTCTTTGAGCCTTGTCTTCATGATGGAGGGAAAAACACAGCACCTTTAATTATTTGCTCAGAGTTACAGAAATCAGAGGAATCTATTGTCCCTAAGTCAGAAGGAAAAAGCTATGCTAATGGAGATGTGAAGGTGAATCCTTCCTTACTACCCACTCAGGGCCCTGAGCTTTTCCCACTCAAGGATACCATTGTATCCTGGCACTCTGATCTTGGCCCAGCTCTTCAGGGGCTCAAGGCTCCGTCTTTTTAGATATGTGCCTCATGACTTGCTCACACGATTGTCCAGGTCAGGACTCTGGATTTCAGACCCCTGGCTCAATACCTGATTCTGGAATGTCTTTTCCTTGATCCAAATCCATACCCTTTCCTTGTTTCAATCAGTACTACTTTTCTCCCAGGGCTCTCAGTTTGGAACCCACCATTCTTCTATTGACTTGGTGTTTCTATTGCCCTGAAAAGAAGATTTCTAAAAAGCAACAACTAAATTGAACACATAGTTTAGGTTTAGATGATATTGACTGTGATTCAGCACAGGCTTCAAAAGGGTTCTCTACTTCTTCTTCTGCTCAGTGGGTTTTCAGACCCTGACTTCTGAACTTCTGATTCTATCAAGGATGGTTCCCCCCACCCCCTCCACCTCTCTCCTTCTTCTTAACTCTCTTTTTGGTTCACACACAAATTCTTCCTTCTTTATTCAGGAATGGGAGCAGAGAGATAAAAACACACAATCCTTTTCAGGTTCTTGAATGCTATTTATGACATAGTTGAGAGACAGCCAGAGAATACAGTTTTTTAAAAAACAAATTTGAAACAAAGACATATAGAATGTGTATGCTTTCAAAAGCTATCTCACCTACTGACGATAAGCATCTACCTTAATCTTGAGCAGCTTTAGTAGTCCAGCTAGGGACCTGGGAGGCACAGCTTTGGCCTTGCACAGTCTTGCCTTTTGCTCTGGTCCCTTTAAAGAGTTTCCCGAGATGCACAGAGGTCCAGTGAGAAAAAGTGGCGCTCTAACCACCCATGTAGATGCTTCCCCTACCCTGCCCCAAGACAGTTTTATTGAAAGATTTGACTATTTGTACAGCAAGCAACCTCTTAGATCAGAGTACTAACTTGCTAAAAGTTGGTAAACTTCTTATTTGAAAGATAAGAAGTTATGAAGACAAAGTAAATCATCTGATTTGGGGATATGGATTGCAGAAAGAAGGCTAGGCACTTTGTCACATCCTATATGTGGTCAGGCCTATCTGTGGAGATGCTGGTTATCAGTTTGCAGATTGGTACACAGTTCAAACCAACAGAAACCAGATCTTTCTGTCTGTCAAAAGTTCTTTCCATTAGTGCCTATATAACTAGTCATGGCTATCCAGAGAAACAGAGCAAATCAAATAGTAATATATATATATGTGTGTGTGTGTATATATGTACATATATATGTACACACATGTATATATGTGTGTGTGAATGGAGTAATTGATTGATTTAGTATGAGAAAGTGGCTCACATGATTATGGAAGCTGGCAGGCCTAAAACTTAATTCAAGTCTGGGGCAGGGGAAGCTGACATCTACTCCAGATTTCTATTTTATATAAGGGGTGGGTCAGCTTTTTTGTTGTATTCAATTCTTGGAATGATTAGATGGGCCCTGTTCTCTTTAAGGAGCACATTAGCCAGGCGCTGGTGGCTCACGCCTGTAATCCTAGCTACTCAGGAGGCTGAGATCTGAGGATGGCGGTTCAAAGCCAGCCCGGGCAGGAGAGACTGTGAGACTCCTATCTCCAATAAACCACCAGAAAACTGGAAGTGGCGCTGTAGCTCAAGTGGTAGAGCGCTTGCCTTGAGCTGAAGAGCTGAGGGACAGTGCCCAGGCCCAGAGTTCAAGCAAAAAAAAAAAAGGAGCACATTATCTGTTTTACTCAGTCTATGGATTTAAATCTTAATCTCAATCCAAATACTCAGTATAATGTTTGACTAAATAACTGGGTACCTTGACCTAGTCAAGGTAATACATAAAATTAACCACTACTGTGCCTTAATAGACTTCTTGGTTTGCCTTTGTACAGTTATTAAATAAAATTCTGGTATTCATTGTTTGGCATGATTGAGAAATTGTAGCAAAAGGCTTTAGGTTAAGAGAAAAATACATTATGAGATTGGTTCCTAAACAGCTTTGAGTCCTCTCAAGCAAGCCTTGACCACAGTTCATAATAAACGTGGCTTTATTTTTTTTGGGGGGGGTCCGGTTATGGGGCCTGAACTCTGGGCCTGGGCACTGTCCCTCAGCTCTTCAGCTCAAGGCTAGCGCTCTACCACTTGAGCCACAGCAACACTTCCGGCTTTTTTCTTTTTGCTTATGTGGTGCTGAGGAGTCGACCACAGGGCCTCATGCATGCAAGGCAAGTGCTCTACCACTGAGCCACCTTCCCAGCCCCTTGGCTATATTCTTAAATCTTCCCACTAGTATTTAATTTTTATGAATTCATAAACTAGTATTATACATTATGCATTTATATTTCAGTCCTGCATATTCAGTTTCAGACATATTTTCCTGAATATCTCAACCTTAAAACCAACATTGCTCACAATGGCTTTACCCATTAAATTTACTATAAACAAATCACAACAAAAGCCTGACTTTTGTGGAGGCAGAACTCAATTAATCCTTATAACTCTTCTGCCAAGGATTTTATCTATTTTATAGAGGAAGAAAATGTTCCTCCAAATGGCCAGGCAGTAGAGCTAGCATTATAAACCTTGTCTTTGCAGCTCTGAAGGCAAGGCTTTTTATTCTTTGCGCTGTTCTTTGTATCAGATATAAGAAGCCTGTAGGTAACTTTACACTTAATTAGCCCTCATTATCTTCTAAAATAAAACCAGAGGCTAGCCCACTAGGGTCAGTTAGTTATAGTGTGGTGATAATAATGAAATAAAATCTGAAAAATAAATCCAGCACTAGAGACTTTACTATCTTGATCTGGATGGCTGTTACGTTTAACTGAGCGTGCAGGAAGGGCCAGAATAATTGTCCTTTGGACAGGAGACATTTACCTTTGAGTCCTTTCCAAAGTCCACACTGATTTTAAATTGTAAGCCTTGACGTGCCAGACTCTAACTTTACTGCATGTCTACAGGAGGGCCGTCAACAGCCAACTCAAAGTAAATCAGATCCGGGACCCGACAATCTCAGGAGCAAAGCAAGGGTTCCAAACTCGGTTCTAAACTTTACGACTGTTTTATGAGGCTGTAATCTTCCTCAGGACTACAACTCCCAGCACGCTATGCCCAAGGCTAAAGCTTATTGGCGGTTCCTCCTGGGCTTCTTGCGTAGTGGCATACACTAAAGCCAATAGAAAGAAAGGATAACTCCAAAGACCCAATCCTGGAGCCGAGGGGCGGGTCCTTCCTAGGTTCCGTCTCCGGCTCCTGTCCCCCGCCCACCGAGGCGGCGCTGTCTCTGGCGGAACGGCGGGAGCGAGGTGGGTCCCGGCTTGGGCCGAGGTCGTGGGGGGAGGCAGACATGACTTCACGGGGCACTCAGAGCACGGCCCCTTCCTTCTCACCTAGGAGTTGGTGGCTGCTGCCTTCTTCCGCCGACCCACTGGGTAGCAGAGGGGTCCTGGGGTCCCTGACCTCTGTCCGGGTCCCCCGGCCCGCTGGGTCCGGGTGCTGGCGCCACACCGGACCCGACCCCGCCCTTTTCCTCATGGCCTTTGAAAACTTCAAGCTCCTGCCACCGATCTTGCCTTTGGGATCAGCCCCTCGTCCCCTTCCACTCTCCAGTCCCAAGCCCACCGGCGTCTCTGAGCCAAACTCCTGCCTTCTAGAACGCGGCACCCTTGGACTCCTGTTTAGCTTCTCCCGCCCTCCTCACACTCACCAGCCTCTTGGACATCGGTCTTCCGAGTCCTCCGATTGCAGCCTTTGTCCCTTTCTCCCGGACCCGTTATTTGCCCCCCCCCCCCCACTGCGTACAATTCCCTGTCGTAAGCACTTTGCCCCCCTGGTCTATGCAAGTTTATCCCCACCCCCCACCCCGCTTCCCCTTTGCTTGGTCCCAGACCAGGAACTTGAACTCTGCAGACCACATTCCAACTTCGTTTCTCCTTTCCTAGGCCCTTGGCCTTCAAGATCTCTGTGGTCAGCTCCATCTTCTTGGCTCGCTTTTCTTAGAGGCAAGATCCCTTCTACTCATGCCCTTAGTGCTGGTGAGCCCTAGGGAGACTAGCCCCAATAGGCCATAGGCCAGGCTTTCTCGGCGGCCCTCTCCCCCCCTCCCCCCCCAATCTCTGAAATGTGATAGGGGCATGACTATTTTAAGCTATCTTTCCAATAGGTAATTGACGATTCTTTCCTTCGAGGCTGGGTCTTGCTCACTCACCCATCCTGGAAGTCCTACCACCTGATTGCTTGGGAGAGCTATGCCTATGGCACTTAACTGCTGTGCATCTGTTTTTCTTTCTGTCCTTCCTTCCCTCTTTTTCTCTTTCCAGTACTAGTTTAATGGTTAAAAACCCTGGCTTTGCCATCAAGGACATCAATACCCGTTTTGCCCCTTGGGCAAGTTACTTAATTTCTCTGAGCTTCAGTTTCTTCATCCTTCAAATAAGGATAGAAAAATGCATAGTTATAGAAATGAAATGATTATATATAGCATTTCATCCTGAGTGTAGCAGTTTGTAAGAACTTAACAAAACATTAACTTATTGGCTCCTGTATAATGTGCCAGGTGCTGTGGGGGGAGAAGGAGAAGGAGGAAGAGGAGGCGGAGGAGGAGGTACCGAGGAGCCTAGACACTGTTCCTGTCCCCTAGAACTTAACCTGCCCTGTGTAATGGTTTCTGGAGTTTATATCTACTTCACTATACTCTATCATAAACTGTATGAGGGTTATGATCATAATCCTAAATCATTGTACTTGTCTGCTGGCTCAGCATTCTACCCTGGGTAGAGCCCAACCTTGGTAAATTACAGGTTCTCAGCATGGCAGTTTTAGAAGTGAGTGGAAACCATGTAGCTCTGCATATAAATACTACTAGAGGATGGGCATTTGAGCACCCAGCCTTGTACTGAAGATTACGTGATAACCAAAACCCTTTCCTCAAGTTGCTTACAAATGACTAGTGGAAATAGATAATTGCACAGCCCCGTAAAAAGCAAGCACATAATAGACAAAGTGGATAGCAATCAGATTGCTGGGAAATAGTGGCTTAGGATAGACCCACATAAGCAGGACATGGGTTCTGAAGACCAGTCTGGCCTTCCTCAATTTTGTTGACTCATCAATTATTTATTAAAAGTCTACTATAGATGCCTACAACTACTTTAGTAATGAGGGCTACATTAGTGAATAAAAGTAAACAAAGGTCTGTATTCTCACGGAACTTACATTTAATAGGGAACTTACATTTAATGTTTATAATACACTCAGACATGATGCCAGACAGTGACATGTGCTAAAGAAAAGGAAAACTGGGGCTAGGAAGGTGGCTCAGTGGTAGAGCGCTTGCCTTGCATGCTCGAGGCCCTGGGTTCAATTCCTCAGCACCACATAAGCAAAAAAAAAGAAAAAAAGCAGGAAGTGGAGCTCTGGCTCAAGTGGTAGAGCGCTAGCCTTGAGCTGAAGAGCTGAGGGACAGTGCCCAGGCCCAGAGTTCAGGCCCCATGACCGGACCCAAAAAAAAAAAAAAAAGGAAAACTGGAGAGGGTGTATAATTTTTAAAAGAAAAATCAAGAAAAAGTGACTTTAAGTATCAAAGAATAAGTACTTTGTGATGTTTACTAGAATCTTGAAAATAAAGCAAACCTATTATGTTTTTATACTGTTTATCCAAATTCCTCAAGAAATATGAATAGGGGTTGATAAATGACAGTTTTTGTGCCAGGACTGGCACTTGAGCTCAGCTTTTTCCTCTCTGGGTTTGCTTGCTCGCAGCTGGTACTGGTAACCTTACCTTTTGAGCCATGCCTTTAGTCTGACATTTTGTTGGAGATGGAACCTCTTCAGCTTTTCTGCCCAGCTGGCTAAGAACTGGGATCCTCTATATCCAGCTTCCTAAGTATCAAGGATTACAAGTCTAAGCCACTGGTGCCCAGTTTATTTTGGCCTTTTTTGAGACAGTGTCTCATGTTATGTAACCCTGGCTAGCCTGGAACTTGAGCTCCTCTGCTTCAGTTCCCTGTGTGCTGGGATTACAGGTGTTTGCCACATGCTATTATTTTACTCCGACACAGCCACACTTATTCCTTTATATGTTGTAATGCTACTTGCATGATACAATGATGACAGATGAATGATTATTACACGGATCCTATGGTTCTAAATATTTACTAAACATTTCTGACCCTTTACTGAAAAATTCCATACAGCTTGAGATTTTAACCTTCATTTCAAATTTTAGGAGGTTATATACAGTTTTGTGCTCATTAAAAAATTCAAAATCTTTCATTTAAAGGATCTTTAAGTCTTTTTTTAAGGATCTTAATACAAAATTTACTCTGAAGATCTCATTTCCTATGCTTTTTAAATTTTTTAATGGTGTTTAGCCTCTTTCTGAATTTTTTTTGCTTTTCTCAATGAGTCTTTTCACATTTCTGCTGTGAAGCCAGTCATCATGTTCAGCTTCCCATCTGAACTTGCATCAAAGACCTGCATTAGCCTCATTAGCCATAGCATTTGTGCCCAGATTATCTAACTGGGAATTCATATTTTCATCCAGCCAGTGGCCAGACCTCAACAGATACAAGCAGGTTGGAGTCACTGAAGTTTCTTTCCTTCTTATTTCTTGTTCTGCTTCAAACAGTGCAACAAAGTCGATATCATCTGCCCTCTTTCTGGTCATTTTGGAGTTGATGTCAAATTCTGGAAAGCCCTCACTTTCATCATCTGCCATGTCTGTGAATGTTCCTCCACCTCCATTGGTTTCAGCAGATTCTTGATCATTCATGTTTTATCAGCATCCAAACTCCTCAGCACTGCCCCCGAATCTTCCAAGTTTTTTTTTTGTTGTTGTTGTTGTTGTTAGTTGTAGGGCCTGAACTCTGGGCCTGGGGATTGTCCCGCAGCTGTTCACCTCAAGGCTAGTGCTCTACCACTTGAGCCACAGCTCCACTTCTGGCTTTTTTCTTTTTTTTAATTTTAATTTTTTGTGAACATACTGTACAGAGGGGTTACAATTACATGGGCAAGATAATGAGTATATTTCTTATCAAGCATTGCAGCCTCCTCCTTTGTTTCCCCTTCCCTTCCCTTCCCAGCCTCCTCCCTGCCCCCCCACTGGCTTTTTTCTTTTTGTTTATGTGGTGCTGAGGAATCGAACCCAGGGCCTCAGGCATGCAAGGCAAGCGCTCTACCACTTGAGCCACAGCTCCACTTCTGGCTTTTTCTGCTTATATGGTGGTGAGGAATCGAACTTAGTGTTTCATGTATACGAGGCAAGCACTCTACTACTGAGCCACCTTCCCAACCCTAAAGAATCTTTTTGATTCTTAGATTCTTTATAGAGCTAGGGCATGTTTTCAATTGTGTGTGTGTGTGTGTGTGTGTGTGTGTGTGTGTATTACTGAGGATTAAACCCACATCCCTAATTCTTTTGCTGGTCCTGGAGTTTGAACTCTGAGCTCCTTTGTGCTCAAGGCTAGTGCTAGCCTTGAGCCATAGCTCCGCTTTCAGTTTTCTGGTGGTTAATTGGAGATAAGAGTTTCACTGACTTTCCTGCCCAGGCTGGCCTCGGCCTGCAATCCTCAGATCCTAGCTTCCTGAGTAGTTAGGATTATAGTCATGAGCCACCCAGCCCTAATTCTTTTGCTTTTGAGATAGAGTCTTTTTGCCTAGGCTAGACTTGAACTCTCAGTTGATCCTCTTCTCTCTCTACCTCCTGAGTATCTGGCATACACCACCATATGACTTGTTTCTAGCAATTGTAATAGTAGCATTATTTGGTGAATGACTAGTATGTGTTACACACACTGTTGTATATATTATAGGCACTTTTTCTAAATCAGAGTCCTGTAATGCGGCTCAGAGAGATTGGATAATTTGCAGTCACAAAGATCATCTATACCACCACTGTAAATGTATACTAAATATAGTCAGGGTCTCTTTTATCCTGGCTATGTGTGTAACTGTGTGTGTGTGGTTGAATGTTTCAAAAATGTGACTATGGCTGTGTCATGTGAGAATGTCACTTGTGACTGCATGTGTGTGTAATGTTTGGGAGTGGTGGAAGTGGGCACTGGCCAATGAGAACAGATGCACATGAGGCCCTGCAGGAGGTCCTGGAGGTCCAGGTACAACCCTAGATTATGAAAAGGTCTGGAGAGAGTTGGGGTGGCAGAGCAGTTAAAGACTATTGAGAGTTGGGCCTTGTAAACAACTAGGAGAGCCTCAAGAATGATAGAGTCCTATGTTCACTTGGTTTCTTTTTTTTTTTTTTTTTTTTTTGTCGGTTGTGGGGCCTGAACTCTGGGCCTGGGCACTGTCCCCCAGCTCTTCAGCTGTAGACCATCACTCTACCAGTTGAGCCTCAGCCCCACTTCCGGCTTTTTCTGCTTATGTGGTGCTGAGGAATTGAATCCAGGGCCTCATGCATGCAAGGCAAGCACTCTACCACTGAGCCACCTTCCCAGCCCCAAAGTTGGTATCTTCTTGGGTAGACCAAAATACATATGAAGTTTGTCACTTGGAACTAAGTAAGTCAATGCTTTCTAAGTATTGTAGCTAAGTGAGGTTATTCCTAATGGATGGTTCCCTGGGGAGCCTTCTGTCAGAAGGTCTAGCCTGACCCAAGCATTGTAATGGTGTTGAACATTTGTGTTCATTCCCAGGGTTCAGAAATGGGCAGTGAGAAGGAGCAGAGTCCAGAACCACACCTGCCTGAGGAAGGGGAAGAAGGTAAGCCTTGGAGAGTGGATGGCTCAGAGGGTTCTCGAATCCCACCTGGGGAGGAACATGGGCAGGAGAGCCTATTGAAGGGGGCACAAGGAACACATCCAAAAAAGCCATGGCAGAAAGTCACTGCCCCAGCTAGGGGACCTAAGGACCCCATTGCACATCCAAGGCCTGTAGAAGATGAGAAACCCTTTGTCTGTGCCCAGTGTGGCAAAACCTTCAACAATACCTCGAACCTGAGAACACACCAGCGGATCCACACTGGTGAGAAGCCATACAAGTGCTCTGAATGTGGCAAGAGCTTCTCCCGAAGCTCCAACCGCATCCGCCACGAGCGGATCCACCTGGAGGAGAAGCACTACAAATGTCCCGAATGCCAGGAGAGCTTTCGGCGGCGCTCGGACCTCACCACGCACCAGCAAGATCACCTGGGCAAGCGGCCGTACCGCTGCGACATCTGCGGCAAGAGCTTCAGCCAGAGTGCCACGCTGGCGGTGCATCACCGGACCCACCTGGAGCCGGCGCCCTACATCTGCTGCGAGTGCGGGAAGAGCTTCAGCAACAGCTCCAGCTTCGGGGTGCACCACCGCACGCACACGGGCGAGAGGCCTTACGAATGCACCGAGTGCGGGAGGACGTTCAGTGATATCTCCAACTTCGGGGCTCACCAGCGGACCCACAGAGGGGAGAAACCCTACCGCTGCACCCTGTGCGGGAAACACTTCTCCCGAAGCTCAAACCTCATCCGCCACCAGAAAACGCACATGGGTGAGCAGACGGGCAGGGATTCCAGCTGAATGGAGCACCATGTGGAGATGCAGGAAGGACACGAAGTCCCAACCTTCGGCGAGGAAAAAGGCCTTTAGAATCAGCTGCGGCCACCTTGACTGCGCACCCTTCATCCGGCTGAGGAGAATGATTTATGTTGTCTCGGAAGCCACGATCTCCAGAAAGTCCTGAGGATGAGTTAAAATCCTTGCCTCCTCCCAGGAAAAAGTTAGAGGACACGCTCTTGACTTGCCTTCCTTGGGTGTGGAAGAGAAGATAGTTAGCTCAGAACGTGGAGCAGCAGTCCTCTGGCCTTTGAGAAAATGCCTGTGCGATCTTGTCGCTGTCTGAAGGGCCTCCACATTGCCTGTGAGCTGCTTAGGACACCCTGTAGTGGCCTGCTTTCCCATGGTGTCCTGACCCAAGAGTGCTTCTAGAGCTCTAGCCTGGGAGGAGTGGCCCTCCTAAGGGAAGGGGCCTCCTTGGTCTCAGGAGAGATGTGGGGCCCTGCCTTAGGAATAAAAGGGAAGCCCTCAGGGAGCCATGATCCAGGGACTTCACACTCCCCCTCTTTCTGTTACCTGTTTTTCCCACCCCAACCTGCTTTGTTTCCCCAGAATGATTACCAGTAAAAAAACAAAACAAAACAAAAACCGTTCCATGAAAAGGACTGTGTACTTACTTGGAGCGGTTGGGAGCTGGTTCCAGTGCAGCCATTCTGGAAGGAAGTTGAATTCCAACAGAGACAGGTGGTTGCTCTGCAAAGCAAAGGAAGGCAGGCCCAGTTTTCGGAGCTTTTGAGAAGAGGAGGGAAAGGGAAGGAAGTGGCATCGATTGAGCATCTCTTTTTCAATTATAAACTGCTGTGTGTTATCAGAGCAGCCGCGGAGGGTATAAGCTGAGGAAAGGCCGTGTGGAAGGTGAAGTCCCAGCAGTGTGCTGTGGAGCCAGTTTCAGCTTGGGCCTCCGTGGCTTCCAGCTGTTTTCACTGCATCCACCTTGTTGCCACCCAAAGGAGCCATTTAGGAGTTTAGCCAGGAAGTGGGAGCCAAGATGGAGTTTGAACTAAAGTGCCTTACACTTGGTGAGTGCTCTAGCACCTGAACCTTCCCCCTCATCTTCTCTTCCACTCTTTTCTTCTTTTTTTCTTTTTCTTTTGGCCAGTCCTGGAGCTTGAACTCAGGGCCTAGGCTCTGTCCCTGAGCTTCTTTTGCTCAAGGCTAGCACTCTACCACTTGAGCCACAGCACCACTTCCAGCCTTTTCCATTTATGTGGTATTGGAATTGATCCCAGGGCTTCATGCATGCTAGGCAGGCACTCTACCACTAAGCCACTTTGTCAGCACAATTCTTTCTCCTTTCTTAGTACTGATGAATACTGACAATGAAGACAGTTTGGTCCCTGAGTTCTCTAGTTTAGAAATAGACACATAAACCCAGAATTACAATTCAGAGTAATAGATGTCCTTACTGTTGTACTCCAGGTACTATAGTAGCCTGGGAGAGAGCCTCACTCTGGCCTGGACTGGCCAGTGAGGCCCAGAAGTAAGACATAGTCCTACCTGCAGGGAATTCAGGAAGAGAAACTCCTCTGACAAAGTCCTGGGGTAACACAGGTGGGGAATGGACCTCTAGAGGTGAGAGAGGCTGAGAAGATGATTGGATTTGGTTTTGAGGAATTAGTAGGCACTTAGTAGATAAAGTGTGGAAGCTTATTTCAGATGGAAGAGAAGACTTAAGCGTTTGAGGAGCAGTGGAATGTTGGATGTAGTAACCAAGTGTTTTGTGTGAGGATAAGAGGAAGTTTCTAAGGTGCACAGGCCAGATCATAAAAGGGGTTAGACACCAGGTAAGAAATTCTGGACAATTGTAGACAATAGAATTTTGAAGTTGGAGAATGACAGGCTTACATTTGTCTTTTAGTAAAATGCAGTCTAGTGTGGAGGATGAACGAAAGGGGAAATGTTGTGTGTGTAAGCCAGGTGCCGGCTTGGACTCTATGGACCCTCACAGAGCTCTGTGTAATTACCCCGGAGGGATTGCCAACCCACAGAATGGCAGTCTAAACCCTCCATATAATTGCTACAAATTACTGGAATTTATGGCCTCATGGTTGCCTTGCAAGAGGTTCCTGTGAAGTATATAGAAGCTTTGCCTATTTTGAACCCATTATCTTGGTCAAAGAACTCAATGCTCTCATTAGCTTCCTCAAGAAATTGTTTTGTTGTTTTGTTTTTTTTTTTGGGTCCAGTTGTGGGGCCTGAACTTTGGGCCTGGGTGCTGTCCCTCAGCTCTTCGGTTCAAAGCTAGCGCTCTACCACTTGAGCCACAGCACCACTTCCGGCTTTTTTCTTTTTGCTTATGTGGTGCTGATGAATTGAACCCAGGGCCTCAGGCATGCAAGGCAAGCGCTCTACCACTGAGCCACCTTCCCAGCCCTCAAGAAATTGTTGAACCAAGCCTTTTGTACATTTAGAATCTCTTCCAGAGACTGAGGATCTTGGGGTTAACGGACATATCATAACATGCAGCTTTCCCTCCTCTTTCATCCCATCTTTGCCCTTACAGTCTTGTGGCCTCCTGGATTGCCACAAGACTATGGTGCATCTTTCTGTAGATGGTATTTTGCCATCATCAAAGATCACTTTTTCTTACATGTCCAAAGTTGGCACATGTTTTTACAGTTGACAATGTTAAATAAAATATACCATTATAAGAAAGATTAAGGAGGGCTGGGCACTGGTGGCTCATGTCTGTAATTCTAGCTACTCAGGAGGCTGAGATCTAAGGACTGCAGTTCAAAGCCAGCCTTGGCAAGAAAATCTGTGAGACTCTTATCTCCAGTGAACTACTAGAAAACAAGCAGTGGTGCTATGGCTCAAATTGATAGAGTACTAGCTTTGCACGAAAAAGCTCAGGGACAGCACCCAGCCTCCGAATTCAAGCCCACCATTAACCAAAAATAGAAGAACGCAAGATGATGGAATTGAACTAGGTGCTAGTAGCTCACACCTGTAATCCTAGCTACGCAGGAGGATGACATCTGAGGATCAAGATTCAAATCCAACCCTGGCAGCAAGTCTGTGAGACTACCTTCAATTAACCATTAGAAAACTAGAAGTGGCACTGTGGCTCAAAGTGGTAGAACACTAGCCTTTAGTGAAAAAGCTTAGGAACAGTATCCATGCCCTAAGTCCAAGCCCCATGACCGACCAAAAAAAAAAAAAAAGTGGGATTGGAAGCCCAGCTCACATTCTTCTTCAAAGATTGACTGAACAATATACAGACCAAACTACTTTTATGAGAACTCTCAAATTCTTTCAGAGTTAGGTTTCATTACCCCAGGAGAACACAAGCCAAGAATCACATGAAAATGGGTAAGATGAGTCATTTTACTTCATGTAATTTGCTATTTCCTTAAACTAGAATAGCTCAGTTTAGGTCACAGATTTTCCCTTGAGGAAAAAAAACAAACAAACAATGAGTGACATCCATATTCAGTGTTCTGGCCTTTTAGAGCATTGCCCAAGGAACTGGCTCCTCTCTTGCTAACCTGGATTCTGCTAATAAACCTGGAATAGTGATTCTGCCTGGGCCAGGGCAAGGGTTGGAGTTACTTGCTGTATCACACAGGGCCTGTAACACACTCGACAGAGGCAAGCACACTCAGCAGGAGTGAGAGCTCCTAACTATGGCTCCTCCTCAGGAGGGAGGCAGAAATGTAGAGCAAATGCCCAGTATTCCTCCTTTATGGAAAGTTGCCTAAGAGACTGGAATTTGTTCTTTTTGGTTGGTTGGGGATTTTTTGTTTGTTTGTTTTATCAGTCATGGGGCCTGAACTCTGGGCCTGGGCACTGTCCCTGAGCTCTTCGACTCAAGGCTAGCACTCTACCATTTGAGCCACAGTACCATTTCCAGCCTTTTCTGCTTATGTGGTACTGAAGAATCAACCCCAGGGCCTCATGCATGCAAGGCAAGCACTCTACCACCGAGCTAACTTCCCAGCCCGGTTGGTTGTCATTAAGGAGCTGTGTGGAGGGGTTGCCGTTTCAGAAGTCAGATAACGAGTACATTTCTTTTTTTGGACAGTGTCACCCCACTTCCTTCACTTTCACCCCATTTCCCCCTCCCATCCTGCTCACAATTTGCGTAGTTTATTTTCCACATAGTGTATACTGAATTGCATGATTGCACTTGTTCACCTTTCCTCCCTCCTTTTCTGCACCCCTAAAAAGGAAAAAAAAAAAGCAGAAACACATACCACCACCACAACTAACATGGTATATGTTTTGTTTGTTTGGAGATGTTGGTACAGAGTCAGCATATTTCTAATGTCCAGGGTGCTCTGAACACAGGAGAATAGGAGGCTTGCTACCATAGTACCAGAAAACATGCAGTACTAAAGACAGACACCAGAGGGAGCAAGAGATTGTGAACTTCAGAAAAAAAGGGTTTTGTGTTTTTGGAGGGATGTGGGGTGTGGCGGGTAGGGGGGAGAAATCTCTAATTGGGAAATTACAGGCATAAACCCAAAAAAGTCATGTTCCTCCAAAAGGACTTAGAGACAACTCCCTCCTTAAGAGCCTAATTGAGCTTATTATTGAAGATCTTCCCCAGTATTAAGCCAGTTTGTTAAAATCAGAATATTGACTGGGTGAGGGGCCACATTCCTTTAATTCTAGATATTCAGGAGGCAGGAGCCTGGTGAATTTGAGGTCCATTTGGGCAAAATTAGTGAGATCCTGTGTCAAAATACAGGGCTGGGAAGGTAGCTCAGTGGTAGAGTGCTTGCCTTGCATGCATGAGGCCCTGGGTTTGATTCCTCAGTACCACATAAGCAGAAAAAGCCAGAACTGGTGCTGTGGCTCAAGTGGTAGAGTGCTAGTCTTAAGTTGAAGAGCTGAAGGACAGCACCCAGGCCCAGCATTCAGGCCCCACAACTGACAAAAAATATATAAATAAAAATTTTAAAACTACTGGAGCTGGGAAGGTGGCTCAGTGGTAGAGCGCTTGCCTTGCATGCATTAGGCCCTGGGTTCGATTCCTCAGCACCACATAAGCAAAAAGAAAAAAAAAATTTAAAACTACAAAAACAAAGATGGCAAGAAAGAAAGAAAGGAAAAAGAAAGAAAGAAAATGAGAGAGAAAGAGAAAGGAAGGAAAGAAAATGTACAAATAAAATAGAAACTATAAAAAGTAACAAAAATTCTGAAATTATATTAATTAAATTGAAAAGTTCACTGGAGAGTTTCAACAGCTGACTTCACAAGCAAATGCACCAGCAAGCTTAAGAGGCCACTTGAAATTATTGGGTTAAATAGACAAAAGGAAAAAGAGAATGAAGAAAAGCAAAGAACTCAAGGGACCTATGGGACAACATCAAGTGGACTGGTTGGTATATGCATTATGGAACTTTTATAAGGAGAAAAGAAATAGAAAAGAACAGAGAAATACTTGAAGAAATAAGGCCTCCAAACCTCTCAAACCTGAGGATGGAAATGAGTATCCGAATCTGAGAATCCTAGAGAACTCTAAGATGAACCAAAGTGGAACACACTAAGAAACATTACAATCAAAATGTCAACAAAGACCAAGAATCTAAAAAAGAATAAAAGCAAAACTA